TGATACACTTGATGCATCACCACCAGTGGCATATGCGTGCCTATCCATAGTTTTCTCATCTCATTTCAGGTGCTGCTTTGCAGTCTTGGCATCTAGCTGCTATTCTAGAAAGGCACAAGTCTTCCTGAAAGCCTTGTGCAGAAGTCTGAGATGCTCAAAGGCATTCTCGATAGCATTTGATATTAATTTTCAGAGCAGCTAAACCTCGTCCTGAATGGCTGCTTTAGAGCAAGCTGAAGAACTCTCTAGTTCTGTTGACTGTGTTGATGAGACAGACTCACAGACTATAGTGGAAGCTTAGACTCCTAGCTCCCTGGTCAATACCTGTCTGTAGACATTTGAGTATAAATGTGTAAATATGGAGCTAAATCACACCACTGGTGACTCACTTCAACACACACAGGTGTTTAGTGAACTCCTCCTAAAATACCCAAAGCATCCACAGTGGGCTGGCAGACATTGTAGTTCACTGATGGAAAACCTGAACTCTTCCAGACTCGCACCTGGAGGCCAGGGGGGATACCTTAAGGCATCTCACGTAGCACTAGATGCTGACACATAGGCAGAGGAATCAAACTGTTCTGCATAAAAGGGTAAGAGTTCTCATCTCATTGACTTGCTCTAAAGATTAATATTTAATCAAAACTTTGAAGATGGAAAATAAGACAAAATAGTTAGGACAGAAGATTGAACTGACATTGCTAGGAATGCTGGGAGTAGAGCAACATCCAATTTGATGCTTAAAATGCAAGTCCTCTCAATCTGAACAGAGTTTAAATAATCCCATACAATGTATTTCGGTTAAATGCTTACTACTTACCATCAGCATTAGCTAGCAACATGAAAACCTGCAACTCGAACACTTAAGCATGTATTTGTTTTCACAAGCAGTGGAATGAATGACTGAATGCATCATAAATAATTCAGTATTTCTTCATTCAGAATGATGTTTTCTTAGCACCTGTTCAAAGTACTCTGTCATCAGAAATATTTAGAAGCTGAAATTTGGCCTTTAAAATTCATTCCCTGATGAAACCAGAATGAAAATATAGCAGACATCGTGGAAACATTTGTATACAGCATGTTAGAAAGAGCATGCAGCCTACCCATCTGTGGTGATAAGACTGAAAGCATTTTTCTTGTCCATAATGTAAAAAACAGAGCTGTTTAACTTTACATTTGTTTGTAAGCCAAAAATCTTTGAATCCCTCCATCTCAGAATGCAGATGGTACTTTTATCTTCTTAGCTGCTGGTTCAGTCTGCTATAGAGACAGAAAAGGAAAGCAACACTGCCTGCACAGGTATTTTTGCAAATGTTTTAACTCAGAAAACTGTAAATTAGGACATGTTGCCAATCATTTGAAATTTCATAGCTCTGAGCAACATGTTAGGAACCTCGAAGTTAGAAGCTTCTGAAGAGTTTCCTTAGGACATTTCCCATACTACTAAAATAAAGCATCAAACTAATACCCACAACTTTTATTTGTCTGAGCAACCACTATGTGTATGAAAACTACAGGACCCTACTATATGAGAAGTGGGGATGCTGAATATCTTTATTTCCACTTAAAATGTCACTAGACATCTTTAAAATCAAATTATTTTGGTAAGGAAAATGAATGTGCTTAGCTCCTCAAACCCTATCTCTGAAGAAGAGTGGTCTAAATCAAAGGTTTGCGTTTCAGCTGGCTAATATTACATAATTAATTGTTTTGCTTTGTTCTCCCCTGTAAGTTACATGAGTGAGAAGGAACGTACATAGAAACTAATGACTGTGAGAAGCTGGTAATGAGCACAGTACAGGGAAGATTCCTACGTGGCTCTGATAATACACCTGAATCATGAAAAGAAATGCTCTGTGTATTCAGCCGACGATTTCTTAGTGGTGGATCTGCTGTAGATCTCCATTTATGGTGAACTGCAAGGTATTTTTGTGATGCTGGCCACTGCAACTCCCTAAGAGTTCATTGCTTTGAATGAGGAGGTGAAATGCTAGTCATGGATTACCCATTCTCTTCATATGTTTGAGTATTTTTAATGAAACAATCTCCAAATAGCTGTTGGGAACAAAAAACGTCCAGTGAAACTAAAGTCAACAATCAGTGGTTTGTCACTGGTTTCAGGGAGGCCAAGTTTTGCTCTAACACAGTACCTTTCTCTGGATGTCCTATTAAGATAGTGGGAGCTTTTTACATTGTTCTCCGTGGACTCTGGCACAGTTGCATGTTTGAATCTTGGTACTGAAAAATGGACTTAAAAGGCCAGTCGTTTTCTGAATTTTGACATAAGAAAAAACAATGTGCTCTTCCACAATTTCAGACCTCATCCTTTACTGATACTCAGCCAGGTGTTAGGTTAATTCTGCATCAAAACAGTAACTTCAAAGAGTTCTCTTAAAAAGAATAAAATGAAACAGAAGGAGAAGACTGAGCTGATTTTCTTTGTCCACTGCCACTGGGCTTGCTGCCCATTTCTTGTCTTTTATTTTTTATTTTGTTAATCCTAATGAAAAAGTGTTTTCATGGCAAGTTTAGGAAGCTTTGGCAATACAAAGCTTAGGACAATCTCATTTTTAATAAAAATAAACAAAGAGCACCCACTAGCTCTAAGATTGTTCAATGGATACTGTAAATGAATGAGTCATTTATTTTTGTGCCAGCTAAACTACCAGTGTCGACAAGATTTGCATATATTTTGGCAAGTGCGCTGCACAAGGTGGAAGTAAAATGGGCCTTTTATATCTGAGTCTAATTTACTTTAGTTATACTCATTAAAAATGTGTTTTCATGTGAAAGGGATTTAAGTAAGGGATAGTTTGGAAACAGCAACGTCACAGAAATGTTTGCTACATAGCCAGTATCACGCATTTTTCTACTGAGAGCATTTTTTTGAGAAGAAATTCACAGGTTCTATGAATTTAAGGTTCCTGTTTTATTTGTTTAAGCACTGTTAGGCTTAACATTGCAGGCTTAAATATCATGCTTATTACTTGCTGCTACCAGCTCTATGTTTTTTTTAAGTAACACAAAATATGGAATTGAAAAAAATCAACTCAATCTGCATGTTTTGCCATCTTCAGTGACATTACCTACCCGTAGGCTATTCACAGGAAGGCAAGAATGTGCTCTTATTCTATGAAATATTATTCAGGGTAAAGTCTTTTTCACAAGTAGTGGTGGCAGTATGGCTGAAGGTAAGATTTCAAATCAATTTTCTTTAAATATGTAGAAAACTATGTGCGTGAAATGCTTCATGAGCAGTACTTTGGTTTTAACAGGCTCATGCCATTATATTTTATTATGCATTAGGAATGTGATTGAACTAAACAAGCCAACAACAACAACAACAAAAAGGCAACAAGAACAGCACATTTAAACTCAGTAAGCTTAATCAAACAGGTTCAGGACTATGTATTTGTCAAGCCTGAATAAAAATATCTGCCCAGTGTCACATGAGCACACACTGAAGGATCCTGTTTATGGATTTATTGTATTTCTTAAGTCTTGGGTTTGCTCCTGTTTAAATTTTCTTGAGAAGATACTGGACTGCTAATTCAAGAGAAGTGCAATGAAAAGAATCCTGTCTTTCTTTCAGTTACCTTGTCTCCTTACTGGAGAAAAAAATGCAGAGGAGCTGGCTTCTGCACCACGACAATACAGAGCACCTGTAATACTGAAGCCATTTCTGAAGAAATAATGTAATTCTTCTTCAGAGATAATAAACAATGTCTCCTTGTGACATGCATTTCAGGCATACATACCGTTTTCATATTTTAATAATACAAAAATAAATGAAAAAGGTGATTAACCACAAGCCTCTGACGGGCTGAATTAATTTTTCATGAAACACAGCTATCAAACTGTGCATAAACAGAAAATATTCTAACCTGATGAAATAGCTATTTCTTACAGGTAGAATGATAAAATCTGGGCATTATGTTAATACTCAGGCTAAGGACAACCAGTATCTATACGAAGCTCCAACATTTCAGTAGGCTCAAGGTGAAGTAATGTACCAGTCACAGACAGAAAAATCAAAAACTGCTTTGGAATGCATTCCCTACTTTTAAAGTAGGTATCAGCTGCCGCCCCACTTATATCAACTGAAATACAATTGCCTTTGCCAGTAACTTCAAGAAGTACAGCATAAACTCTTACTAATGATTTTGAAGTGTACTAATTTGGGGAAGTATTATGACACATCAGACAAAATAGCCAGCACCTAAGCGTTTATGAAATATACATTTCTTATAACTAAAATAATATTTAGCTTTATAATTAGAATTCTAGAAGAGAGACAGAAAATGAGTTATTATGAAAATATATAGCTTTAATTTGCAGACATATAAACACTTTTGGTACATTACAGACATATGATACCAGAAATCAAAACAATCAGTTTTAAGCATAACACTAATTTATCTTGTTCACACAGAGAAATTCGAAGTAATCATCATACAAAAGATAGTTCTCAGCTCTAAAAATGAAGTGAAAGTGATACATCACCAATAAACCTGCTGCTTTGTTGCAGAGGATACAGCAAAGAATAAATTATCAAGAAAATATGCCACCAGTCTTACAAGTTAGATTTTGGATCTAATCCAAAATCAAAGCCAATGAAAAGGAGCCAGGAATGGCTGCCAAAAGTCGGAAACAAGATCTTTCACATGAAATACCAATCCAGAAAGGAGCAACAGTCAGAATAAACTAAGTCCTATAATTCCTTAGCATATGAAGTGATTTTTGTTTTCATCTGGCAGATCAGATTCAGAAGTAGCACATGAAAAAAATCTATTACACAACCAACTGATGGAGTACTACTGACAGATTGCTCAAAGTACAAAAAATATCACCACTTCTGTGACAACTAAAGATTTAGCCATTCCCTTGCTTCCTTGCATCTGGCATGTTTACGAGAATGAGCATGGGGTTCTGTCATTGTTTGCTGTAGGAAATATTAAATATAATTTTTCCATAAAAATGACCAGCAGATTGCTGGAGCAAATGATAATGTGTGTGAGATCTGGAGTAAATGAAAGATGATATGTCACAACAGTTCATATTCTCATTACAATATCTTGCATTCTTGCTCAACAGGAATTGCACTTCTTGTTAATGCCTTTTCTATCCTACTGTATAAGCTTTACTTGTGAGGTAATAAACATTCCGTTGCTTTTTTTTTTTTTTTTTTTTTTTTTTTTTCTTTATTACTAGTGCATTTTAATGTCTTTATTCTTTTAATTATACATACATCGGGACAGACATTTCTTTTCCTTGTGGTTAAATGTCTGTATGCCAATGTGTATTTTATATTAAAACCAATATATTTAAAATATACTCTGTGTTTATCTCATGGACAGTTCCTCGAACAGTTCCCTGCTCAGGAGCATCTGATGCCCTCTTGTGGTTAAAAAGACTTTTAAAACTTGAGTTTAAAGAATCATCTTACCTTCCTCTTTTTTATGAGCACTGATCTTATTGATTTATGAAAGCTGCAAATGATACCCACGTTTTTATAGACAGGGTGCTAGCTGTTAGTTACTAAGGTTTCATAAAAAAAGCTGTACACTGAATTTGAATTTAAAAAACTGTAAACAGCTATTTACATTTATAATATTATTAAGTTATAAATTAGCAGTCCTTCATTGCAACCTCTGTCAAAACAACCCACGGTTACATGTTTCAGAGTTGTCTAAGGTTTTTCAGATCTTGGATTTATCCACAAAGAAATGTCAAATGTTAGAAATCTCCATTGGTTTCTTCTCCAACATGTGCAGGTTAATTCTTCCATTTAATGGGATTTGTACTTCCAAGTTTTCATCTGGTCTGTGATGCTTTTTCCCTTTTCTTAGACAGATGTAAATGCCCATCCCTGTTACTAAAGCAGTTGAACCCAAGCTTATTATTGACAGAGCTACCAAGGTAGGCATGCAGGATGCTGACTCCAATTTTTTATGTGCAGGCTCTATGGAAATTTGTGGCTGCTTTTCTTCTACACTGATATCAGGCTCCTTTCTTAACAAACTCTCAATGTAGCTCTCATTGCTAACAGTGTCATTGACGAAAAGGTTCACCATGACGGTGGAATGGAGAGGTTCTGGATAGCCGTGATCACTAACCTTTACAAGCAGCCGGTAGAGCCCATAGTCATTTTGCATCAGTGACTCTTCCAAGGTGATATTACCAGTTTTAGGATCAATCCTAAATGACTCCGGTCGAGGGCCTCTTCTTCCTATGATGCTGTAAGCTATGACTGCATTCATGCCAGTGTCCTTATCGACAGCATAGACCTCAGTGATGGGAGAGCCAGGAAGGGTAGAAGGAAGGACCAGTAAATAAGACATATTAGACTGAGGAAACAAGACCAAAGGGGGGTTGTCATTTATGTCCAGAAGAAGGATAGTTATTTTTGCTGTAGAAGACAGGGCAGGATCACCACCGTCCACTGCTTCAATCCACAGAACGTAGGAGCTTTGCTGCTCCCTGTCCAGGGAGACTTTAGCTCTCAAAACTCCTTTCCCAGTATCTATGACAAAAATATCACTTCCATTCAGAACTGATAGGGCAACCCATCCATTCTGCCCTGCATCAGCATCTGTGACACTTATAACTCCAATTTCACCAAAACCTGGAAAGTTTTCTGGCACGAAAAAGCTGAAATCCTTATTGATAAATCTTGGGCTATTATCATTTTTATCCAATACAGTGATGGTGACAGTTGCTATTGATTCTCTTGGAGGGAACCCAGAATCTACTGCTTTGACAGTATATCTGTATTTTTCTTTTTCTTCTCTGTCCAGCTGGGTGGAAACGGTAAGAACTCCTGTGGTTTTATCTAAAGCAAAATAGGAAGGGGCATCAGGACCTAAGAAATAGGAAACTTGCCCTCTTTCTCCACTGTCAGCATCAGTAGCATGCAGTTTGGTTAAGAAAGCATTGGGAACATTGTTTTCCTCAATAGATAATTCTATCAGCTGTTGAGAGAAAACTGGCGAGTTGTCATTGTCATCCAGAACCTGTACTTTGATTATTTTGTTGACATGAAATCCTTCTGAGTTCCATGCAACTACAGATATTTCATACAGCTGCTGTGTCTCGTAGTCCAAAAGCTTTGTGGTCTCTAACAGGTATTCATTGTTGTATGGCTTGTATGGTGAAAGTCTGAAAGGCCCATCACCATCTAAATAGCAATTGACTTTGTATTTTTCATCAGGGTCTTTGATGGTAAAAAATGCTATCGGTGTGTTGACAGGCTCCAGTTCCTTCAAATACACCACCCCTTCCACTTCATTAGCTATGAAACGAGGGACAACTTGAGGTGGCCTCATCATGACTTTGATGATGGTCACTAGCACTGTGATCACGGCAGGGATACAACCAGGACCGTTGCCCAGTATGATCAGCCTGTGAAGCTTTGGAGTGTCCCCATCAACTTTACTGGAGAGCATGATGGCTCCTGTGCTTTCGTCCAGATGGAACAAGTCTCTGGATGGCTGGGGGACCTTCTGGCTGTAGGAGTAGGTGATCTGGGCATTGGATCCAAGGTCCATGTCTACTGCGTGGACAGTGGCCACGTGTGTCCCTAGGCTGGAATTCCCATAAAGGGTGATGTTAAGCTGCGAGTCGCTGAACTGGGGGCAATTGTCATTGATGTCACTGATGTCAATAGTGAGGGTGGCACTTCCCACGAGCGGAGGAGTCCCCCCATCCTCAGCAACAATGACTGTGACATACTCCTCGCGTGTCTCCCTGTCCAGAGCCCCCATAATAATCAGGTAGGGAGTCCTCTCCCCGCTCTCATTCTCCTCCACATCCAGGGTGAAGACCCCGTAGTTATCTCGCAGGCGGTAGGTCTGGACACTGTTCGTGCCCACGTCGGGGTCAAGGGCAGGGTGCTCGATAGCCAGGCGGGTGTTCACAGGTGCATTCTCAGGCACCGAGAGGTGGATGTGAGGCACAGGGAAGCAAGGCGCATTGTCGTTGACATCCCGGATAGCAATTTTTACCTTCACTAGGCGGAAGTACTCCTGTGGCAGCACCAGCACATCCAGCAGCAGCAGGCACGACTCAGATGAGGGTGAGGAAGAGGAAGAGGAGGCAGCAGCTGCTCCCCCGAAGATGGTGGCCTCACTGCTCTCCACACACAGAGCTTCCCGGTCAATCTCCACGGCTGAGGTGTGCAGCTCCCCGGAACGGTTGTCCAGTTGCACATACTGTCCCCCCAAGCCACGGGAGGCCAGGGTGAAGGAGAGTGGGGGCTGGGGGGCCATAGGGTGCTGCCCACCAGCTGTCGGCAGCCGCAGGTCACGGGCCAGGCTGCCGATGAGCACCCCGGCCGGCAGCCCCTCGTTCAGGCTGTAGAAGAGCTCGGTGGCACGGCTGTAACTGGCAAAGCAGTTGAAAGGTCCAACGAAGAGCAGGAAGAGGAGCAAGTGCTGAGGAGAGAGAGGCACAGGGGTGTGGGGAGGGGGTGGTGTTAGAGAAGGAGGGGAGGAAAGAGGCAGCACCCCTCCCTGCCCACTGCTTTCCCCACTGCCACTGCGGGCAGGGAGTGCGGCATCTGCAAGATGAAACCATCCTCCCTCTACCCCCATCTTCTCCCCCCAGTACAGCAGCTACTTCCAGGGCATCGCCATCTGTACCCTCCGGGCAGCACCAGCTGCATTCCCCACGGCAAACACGCACTGCCAGGGATGGCCCAGGGACACCCTGCCTCCCCCCCTCGCCAGCAGCAGCACTTGCGCCCCGACGTGACACCTTCTCTTCGCCTCCCCCACACCTCCCCAAGCTCGGCCCCCTTCCCACCAGCAGCACCTTCCCTCCCAACCGCAAGCCCATCCCAAGCCGGGGCACCCCACCTGCTAACCCCCAAACATTTCCTCGCCCCTTCACCTTTCCACAGCAGCGATGTGAAGCGCGTCCCC